AATCTCTTCATTTCTCTCCTGTTTTGATGTGCTCTTGCATCACGTTGGTTCTGTCCTCCACGACGAGTACGTCGTTGTTCATCTTGTGCTGCATACGTGGATGTCAAAACATCAACACGTGCTGGCTCTGTCTCTGCAACATCAACACGTGCTGGTTCAGTTGTTCCAAATGAAAAGAAACCATGACCAGAACTTGAAGCTGCAGAAGAATAATGAGCTTGTTGAGTTTGTTGATTCTGTATGGCAGGAACTGATGTGGTCTGAGGTTGAACATAGTTCGACTTGCCTTTTCCATCTCCTGGCTTTCCTCCTTTTCCATCATCATCCTTGCCTTTCTTGCCTTTCTTTCCTTTTCCTTTTCCTTTTCCTTTCCTCTGGAAGTATCCATACTCATCCATGTAGTACAGATCATCATAGGCCCAATAGCCTTCATTCCAGGTTTGATCATCGGCCCAATAGCCGTCATAGTTTTCATTCCATTCATCTTCTTGCCAATCTTCTTCATAATCTTCTTCACTCACCATGTGAGCACGGCCTTTCTTCTTCCTTTTCCTCGGCCTTTTCCTTTTCTTGATCTGAAGAACCTTCGTCCTCCTCTGCCTTTTCCTTTTCCTTTTCTCTTTCCTTTACCTTTGCCTCGTCTGATGTATTTGCCTTGGAACCTTCTCTGATACCATGTGAAGTTGGCGTCATCATAAACCCAGAAAACATCTTCTAAAGCATCCAGGAATCCTTCTGCGCCGTCTTCTTCATCTTCGGCCCAATAGCCGTCGGTTCCTTCTAATTCACCTTCATCCAGTACGAGGAAAGATCTTCTCTGTGCCATGCCAGAGGGTTGCATCAATGGATTGTCAACTGCTGTTTTGGTAGTGCAAAACATTTCCAAAAACAGGTCACGTAGTTCTTGAATGTTGTATTGATCGAGGGTTCGTCCACGATGTGTCATGATACTTGTGAGTGTATTTCTCTGATCTTGACTCAGGTCAGCTAGACTTACAAAAATCAATGCTAGCAAATTTTCACCCAGTGGGAATGCTTGTCGCTGTACTTGTCTACGATTTTCCTGAAATTGTCTGAATGCCGCTAGTGCCAGTTCATCTGACCAAGGAACAACTACATGGGGTGTTCCTGAGGCTGCTGCTACATCAGCTCTCTCTTGTTGATCTCGTTCATGTTCTTGACGTCGTTGTTGAACAAACAGAATTGCTTCAGGACTAGTCACTGTTACTTCTGGAAGTAAATCCATCCAAGACTCAATAAGTCTATTGCCAGTGAGTTGAAATCTAGTCATCCACTTCTGAAGATCCATGGTTCCTCTGTTGAACTTCATGAACTGCATGAAACGGTATAAGAACACGTTCTGGGCACCTTTGATGAAATGAGGTCGTAGAAATCTTTTGAAATAAGCCACTCCTTCATAGGGATCCCTGAGTAATTCTCTATCCAATAGCCTCTTGTATTGTTGAGCATCTCCTTCCAGTCTGTTGCGCAATGCTGGACCACGTTTCTCTGGTTCTAACTCCGTAATGTCACACCAGTCATCAATTGCATCCTCAAAAGCAAAGAAGCTGGTTCGCCCATCATAGGCTGGAGCAACCTTTGTGGTCATCTGTTGCGTCATATGAATCTGTGTATGCTGGGGTGCTCTTCTCATTGCATAAGAGTCATATTGGTTCCATTCATTTGCATCGACAATGTCGAAGTCATCATCATCATAGCCATGGCTTGCCATTTCTTGGGCTCTACCTGGAGCTCACCCTCAATGAGGGATCACTGCTCCGCTACCACTTGAAGAGGGGCCCTAGCGTCTACTTCAAGATCAGCTAAGGCGTCTTCCCCAATGACAGCACTCTTTTACTCTCAGCCTGTTGCCGGTCAGTGCTTGTCTACAGGGTTACTCTATATACCTCTTTCTTGAGCCTTGAAGGCGCATATAAATGTGCTCAATACTCATGCATGTACCTATGTAGGTATTAGGTCGAAACAAAAACAAGGGCGCAGCGCCTCCCCCCCAAAGAACACAGGAAGAACAGCGTTCTGGCTTTGATCCGTTTCCTTTCGCTTCTTTTCCTTTGTGCCTTGTTATTGTTGTTCTCGTTGTTGTTCTTCCTTCTTCTTCTTGTTCTTGTGTCTGGCGTCGTCTGTCTTGTATTGTGCCTTAAACATTACCCCACATAAATTTCCTAAGGCTGGTGGGGCGGCATGGGGGGGAGGGCGCAGCGCCTCCCCCCCAAAGAACACAGGAAGAACAGCGTTCTGGCTTTGATCCGTTTCGTTTCGCTTCTTTTCCTTTGTGCCTTGTTCTTGTTGTTCTCGTTGTTGTTCTTCCTTCTTCTTCTTGTGTCTGGTGTCGTCTGTCTTGTATTGTTTCCTAAGGCTGGTGGGGGGCAAAAACGACGACACCAGAGACAACAACAGAAAGAAGAAGGAAGAACAACGACGAGAATAACAATAACACGGCACAAAGGAAAAGAACAGAAAGGAAACGGATCAAAACCAGAACGCTGTTCTTCCTGTGTTCTTTGGGGGGAGGCGCTGCGCCCTCCCCCCCATGCCCCCCACCAGCCTTAGGAAATTTATGTGGGGTAATGTTTAAGGCACAATACAAGACAGACGACGCCAGACACAAGAACAAGAAGAAGAAGGAAGAACAACAACGAGAACAACAATAACAAGGCACAAAGGAAAAGAAGCGAAACGAAACGGATCAAAAGATCTCTCCCCTTGAAGGGGTGGAGGTGGGGGGGGTGGTGTACCCCCCCCACCTTGGATGGGCACAGCTGGGGGGGGGTGGTGCACCCCCCCCAACCTTGGATGGGCACAGCTGGGGGGGGGTGGTGCATCTCCCATGGTCTGAAGGTAAGCTGGGGGTGGTGGATATTTAGGCTTTGAGGTAGGGGATGGTGCGTTGTGCAGGAAGATGATACTAGCAAGGCTGGAGGGGGGGGTGGTGCAGCCACTTCTAGCTTGAGCGGGCTTGGAGCAAGGGTTGGGGGGGGGAGGTGCACCTCCCCCTAGCTTGAATGAAAATGAACGCCAAATGGAGAACTCTCGCTTTTTGGACGGAAGCCGGGAACGCCTCTGTGTGTAAAGGCTTCTGTGTGCAAAAGCTTCGGTGTGCAAAAGCTTCTGTGCGTAAACTTCTGACGAGTCGAAGTCGGAGTAGGCGTCGGAGGAGGCGTAGGAGTGGGAGTAGGAGTGGGAGTAGGAGTGGGAGTAGGAGTGGGAGTAGGAGTGGTAGTAGTACCAGTGGCAGTAGTGGCAGTAGTGGCAGTAGCGGCAGTAGCAGTAGCAGCAGCAGCAGCCGCAGCAGCAGCAGGAGTAGTAGTAGTAGTAGTCGTCGTCGTCGTCGTCGTCTTCGTCGTCGTCGTCGTCGTGGTGGTGGTGGTGGTGGGGAGGGGGAAAGGGGGAGGGGGAGAGGGGGAGGGGGAGGGGGAGGGAGGGGGAGCTGTCACCCTGCAACTCTCTTTATACTGGCAATACTGCATTTATCTCCGGCGCCAGGCGCCACTTTCAGAGCATGGGTGCTTCGCATTGTGGCGCGCCTGGTCCATCAGCCTGTCCATCGGCCTGTCCATCGGCCTCATCGGCTCCATCGGCTCCATCGGCCCCATCGGCCCGGCTCCATCGGCCTCATCGGCTCCAGCGGCTCCATCGGCCTCATTGGCTCCGGCCTCACCGGCTCCATCGGCCTCAGCGGCTCCAGCGGCTCCATCGGCCTCATTGGCTCCAGCGGCTCCAGCATCGGCCTCATCGGCTCCATCGGCCTCAACGGCTCCAGCGGCTCCATCGGCCTGCGTCAGCTCCATCGGCCTCATCGGCTCCAGCGGCCTCAGCGGCTCCATCGGGTTGATCGGCTCCAGCGGCTCGAGGGGCCTCATCGGCTCCATCGGCTTCATTGGCTCCAGCAGCTCCATCGGCCTCATCGGCCTCATCGGCCTCTCGGCTCCATCGGCCTCATCGGCCTCATCGGCCTCATCGGCTCCATCGGCCTCATCGGCTCCATCGGTGTCAGCGGCTCCAGCGTTCTCATCGGCTCAATTGGCCTGATCGGCTCCAGCGGTTCCAGCGGCTTCATCGGCATGTCTTTCTGGAAAGCCTATTACGGCCCGAAGCAGGCGGAATCAGTTGCGTCCATTTTGCGCCTATGGTTTGCTTCGCTGCCTTTTGATTAGTATTGATCCATCGCCTTTTGGATTGTGATACAGCCTCCAAGTGTCGAACGTACGGAGGGGGGGGAAGGGGGGGAGGGGGGGTGACTTTGATTCAGACGAAGCAAAAACGCGCGGGAAGAGAACAAAGGAACAAGCACAAGCCAAGAACAGAAACAAGTACAAAACAAGAACAGAAACAAGAACAACACCTCACAATCAGACATGCCGGCAGGCCGGCGGATTTGTGTCTGTTCTTTATACATCAGTTGTCCGTGTTTTTTTCTTCTTATTCTGCTTGTTCTTGTTCTGGTTCTTGTTCGTGTTCTTTTTGCGGTCGTTGTCGTCGCCGTCGTCGTCATCGTCGTTGTTGGCCCAGATCCTAGAGTTTTCGCAAAGCTGGCAAAGGACGCACTGCCTTCCCTGCGGCTGTATGGCCCCCATGGCAATCTGGGCTCCATCAAGACAGTGCAAAAGCTAGAATCTCAACAACAATCAGGACCAAACCAAATCTATAGTCAGACAGGGTAAAGTGCGACCCTGTTGGTTGCATTTATCTCTGCAGCTCGAATGTGTCAGTTTTTGCGCACAACCTCTGCAGGTTGAGGAATAAGTGATGAACTTGATAGGTTGGTTAATGCCCCGGAAGGCAACTTCCTGACCTCATACAGGCAAACCTCCAGCAACTTTTGCACAGACTTGCTGTTTTCAAATAATTTTGGGGGCAGCCTCATACCGGGAGAGCATGTGGAACTGAAAACAACCCAAGTGCCAAACAGCAGCATTGATTCCAACATCATGCCATACAAACATGTACAGCAAAATGTACAAATCACCGGTGGCAAATTT